GCAGCGAGCAGGTGGGCGGTAAGGAGCAAGGGGTCCTGGCACTGTCGAGAGAGGGATGTCCACCGAGGGTCCTGGACTATGAGAGGCGCAGGCCGGGCAGAGGGACCCCCCCCCCCTTCCTCCAGTGCACGAATTTCACGCACCGGGCCTCTAGTATATAAATAATATAAAATTTACTATCTTCGATAATTGTTTCAGTGTACAGTTCAGTGTGTTAAGTACATTCACTCTGTTGTGCAATCAATCTCCAGAACTTTTTCACCTTGCAAAACGAAAATCATGTACCCATTAAACAACTCCCCTTTGTTCTTTCTCCAGCCCTTGGCTACCACCATTTTACTTTCTGTCTCTATGATTTTGACTCTAACTAATATAAGTGGAATCATACATCATTTGTCCTTTTGTGACTGGCTTTTTCACTTAGCATAGTGTTTTCTAGGTTCATCCATGTTGTAACATATATCAGACTTTCCTTCCTTTTTAAAGCTGAATAACGTTCTATTGTATGTGTGTATTACTTTTTGTTTATCCATTTATCCATCAATGACACAGGTTGCTTCCACCACAGGCATGGAAATATTTCTTTGATATCCTGCTTTCAACTCTTGTGGGTATCTCCCCAGAACTGTTGGGTCACATGGTAATTCAACTTTTAATTTTCTACAGGATCTTCCACACTTTTACCAGGGACACTGCAGTTTCTTCACTGGCTTCCCAGCCTCAATACCTTCCTATTAGGTCCCAGTGAGAAATTAGCTTGAAACACAGGCAGACAGGGCAGGGGTCCAATGGAAAACAAAGGCAGGTGGAACATAGGCAGGGGCAGGCACGGCAGTTTGAGCAGCCTAACCACAGAAACCAACCATGCTGAAATAATATCGAACGTTTTTGGACAGAGCGGGAGCGTGGGAAACCAAGGGAGGGCCTGCAGCAACAAGGTGTATTAATGCGTAGAAACAGGGAAAGTTCAGGTCCGTTGCTGGACAAGAACAATGAGGGAATCAATCAGGTGAGGACATGGGTAGTGCTAGAGCAGGCTTGTAACAAATATATACCCCTGGACTACAAGGCTTTGGGGGCAGCTCATTATTATCACCCGCGCCCCCCCACCCCCACAACCCCTCCGTGCAGGGAGTCTGAATCTGCTTGTAATAAATTTTCCACACTTTTGCTTAAATCATCTGGTCCTCGCAGCTCATTCTTCTGTGTGAGACATGACCCCAGAAAAAGCCTCAGCTCACCGTTCTGGTTATCACCAGGATTGTTCTAAAATTCACATGTAATTTCCTTTAAAGCCCTTCGGGGGCTCTCCAAGGCCCCTAGGACTGAAAAATGGACCTTGAAAGAACTGACTCCGTTCCGTCCCCTTGCCCTCTATCTGAACCATAGGCGTTCCATTTTATTCCCATAAATTTTGTAAGAACTGCCTTTCAGGGTTTCCCTATGAAGTGCAGATGGTCCATTGACCTGTTAATTCCAGGATATAACGAAATCAGACAAGTAACTATGCTATTTCCTATTTCTAGCTTCTGTAAATATGCTTGCTTGAATAATGGGAAAATAAGGGGGGAGGGGGGTGGAAATCTGAGCCTGTGACGGAAACCTGGTGTACATCCTTATCAGTCTACGGTCTGGTCACGGCTCCCTCTTAAATCGTCTATCTTGCAGGACCTGTTTGCTAGAGCATTGTTCCCGTATTGGAAAGGCCATGAACTATATATAATACCCCCCAGAAGGAGTTATCAGCGCTGGCGCCAGGCCTTGAGATAGGGTCTCACAGCACCAATCCCAGAGTTTGTTGTTGTTTTTTTTTCTTCCTCTTTTTGCCCTTATAAGCGTACCCTTAACTTCATTTCGGGACCGCGAGGTTTGGAGTGGCGATAGCCCTTTGCAGTCGCCGTCGGCTTTTGAAATAAAGGCTCCAAAATTCGACCCTCTGGCTGTGGCGTCTTCTGTTGGACTTGCTGAATTTGAATAGAACAGGACAAGTCCAGCCTGCCCAGTGGCCACACACGGCCCTGCGTGGTCAGGCCCCACCGACCTCATCTTCTAACCTGAAGCATCACCATCTCCAAGCACACGCCTCTACCCCAGGTGCAACGCACCAACTAAAATATGTACTTCCAGGCCCCGTTCAAAAGCTGAGTCGTTTTTCGTTCTTTAAATGGAATTAATTTCCTCCTTGCTCATTTCCATCCAAGGCCTTATGGGCACTTTTGCCCTGGTTTTCGGCACCCTCTACTCTTTCCATATCGTTCCCCCGCGGGCCCGTGAAACTCCCAGGCCCCGACGCGAGGGGAGGGTGGGGAAGGTGGGGTGGGGTGGGGGTTGCTGCGTGGAGGTTTGCTGTCAGACTCCCGCCAGGTCCCAGAGGTGAGCTGTGGTCGGACTGCACCCGCGTCCCAATCCCCTCCCCACTCCGCAAAGCCAGCAGCTCCTCACCCCCGCAACCTCCCACGGCGAGGACCTCTAACATGTTTTGATCCGGGACGGTCAGTCGGGGCCTTAGTTTCCCCATATGAAGAATAAAGTGAAGTTGTAGGCGCCTCCTCTCCCAGCCTTTACCTGTGGGGAGTGCTGCCAGGGTGGGTCACCTCCCCGCTGCCGCTCGCAGATCAGACAGGTCCGGATGCCCTTACAGCCGCATTCCCGAAGTACTTCGGGGGCCGCCACCACCGCGGCCGCCATCGCTGCGTCCCGGCGGCCAGTGCGCAGGCGCGGGGTTGCGGGGACCGCTGGGACTTGTAGTCCAGACGCGGGGCACGAGGCCCGCGGAGCCGCTTCCTTCCGGTCATCTCCGGTGGGGGACTCGCGCGGCGCCTCCTCCTGGGCTCCGCCAGCTGCGGGCGCCAGCAGCCGACTCCGGAGTCGCGGGCTCCGCCGAACGCAGACGCCGCCGAGACTGCCAGCGCCGGCCGCGCCTCCTCGCCATGGGCCCCCTCTCCCCGCGGCTGCTGATGAAGCGGGGGCGACCCAAGAGCGGCCGACTGGGGAGGATCCGGAGCCTGGAGTAAGAGGCGGGCCGGGGACGACGGGGGGCTCGGAAGCGAGGCCGGACCCTTCCCGGGCCGTTATCACCATGTCGGTTGGGCGGAGTCTAATCACTCGGGCCAGATCCTCTCGGCAGAAGGGCCGGTGGGCCCGGGCTGCTAAGAACAGTGGTGCCGAAAGAGAATTGAGAACCTGTTGAGGGAATTACAGAGGGGCTGGGGAACGGAGAGGAGGCCCCCACAGGGGCTCAGGAGAAGCATCCTGGAGGGGGCCGGCTGCCCCGAGTTTTAAAGTAGTTACAAGGTTTTTAAAAAATAGGTTGTTGTTGCCCTGGCCGGTTTGGCTCAGTGGATAGAGCGTCGGCCTACGAACTGAAAGGTCCCAGGTTCGATTCTGGTCAAGGGCACATGCCCAGGTTTCGGGCTCCATCCCCAGTAGGGGCTTGCAGGAGGCAGCCGATCCATGATTCTCTCTCATCATGGATGTTTCTATCTCTCTCTCCCTCTTCCTTCCTCTCTGAGATCAATAAAAATATATTTTAAAAAAATAGGTTGTTGGAGAGAGGCTGTGCATGCACAACAAATGCCAGGAGACAAAGCCTCAGAGGCACCCTAGGCTGCCATAGGTGCGGGGCTGGAGGCCTGCCTGCCCTGAGCACGCTCTGTCTGCCCCCCACCCCAGCCTGTCAGGACTGGAGCTGCTCTCAGAGCACTTGGACCCCAAGCTCCTGAGCCGTCTGAAGCAGCTGCAGGAGCTGGACCTCTCCAACAACCAGCTGGAGATGCTGCCGGACAACCTGGGCCTGTCCCGCCTGCGTGTCCTCCGCTGCTGCAACAACCAGCTGGGGGATGTCACTGCCTTGTGCCAGTTCCCGCAGCTTGAGGAGCTCAGCCTGGAGGGCAACCCCTTCCTGACAGTAAGTGGGTTCGCCCGGAGGCCCCAAGCCCAGGGCCAGCACTCTGTTGGGCTTGGGCTCAGCAGCCCTCAAGCCATTCTTCCCTCATTCCCCAGGTCAACGACAACCTGAAAGTCTCCTTTCTCCTGCCCAAGCTGCGCAAGGTCAATGGCAAAGATGCTTCCTCCACTTGCTCTCAGGCGGAGAACCTGAACCGGGAGCTAACCAGCAGAGTAAGGGGACTGAGAGGTGTCTCCGGGGCTCGGGAACAGTGGGCAGCCTTGAGGATCGAGCGACAGGCTTGGACATTTGTAGGACACGGAGGGAGGTTACAGGAGCTCTCGTCCCTGACCTTAGTCCCTAGCCTGACATGCTCTGGACCTGCTTGTGGTGCTTGGCCTCTCGTCCTTGGGTGGCGTCTTGCCCTCCAGGTGGCATTTTCACAGTAACTTTCCTCTGGACAGACCACTTTCTCCCTCTGGGGCTGTGTGTGTGGCTTGGATTTGTGTAACATGCAGCTAAGAAGGCTGTGGTTTAGGGAGACTTCCAGGAGGCAGTGAGGTTGAAATACCCGTGGCCCTGAGATTGGGGGTAGAGGGGCCATGGAGGGTCCAGGGATGAACTGGGTCTGGATCTGGTCCCTCCTGTACCAGGTCACAGCTCACTGGGAGAAGTTCATGGCCTCACTGAGCCCTGAGGAGGAGACAGAGAAGGCCAAGGCGGACTTCGTGAGGTCTGCTGTCAGGGATGTGCACTACGGGCCCGAGTCCCTCAGCGAGTTCACCCGGTGGCGGGTACGTCCTCACCCCGCTGTACAGAGCCTGTTCTCCCAGCTCCTTGCTGGTCCCATGTGCTGAGCTGCCCTGGAGGTCTCTGACCATGAGGCACTGTGGGCAGTGGGGCGGGTCAGGGAAGGCACCATTATCGGCCAGCAAGGCCCTTTCCCAACTCAGGAGGCACAAGCTCCCCCTGACTGGGTGTCTGAGGGGCTGTGCCCAGCTTCCTGATGCCCTGGCTCCACCAGGTGCGGGTGATCTCTGAGGAGCTGGTGGCCTCTGGTGGGACCCAGGTCCATGAGGCAGACATCCCAGAGAAGTCCCCAGAAGCCACAGCTGTCCAGGAGCCCAAGGTGAGTATGGTTCTTTGTGGCTCCCTGGGCTGTGAGGGCCTGCCTTGGCCCTTCCTTCCTAGGGAGGCTACAGGGAAGCAGGGGGTTCTGGAAATGAGCCCAGGAGACAGCCTCCAATGCCCAACTAATTCCCTCTGACCCTGGGCCAGTCCTTACCTCCCACACCCATGGAGAGTGCAGCCCAGCCTGTGATAGGAAGGAAAGAAGACCTGGGTAGGTGGTCACCAGGCTCTCAGCCACCCCTTCCCCCCACAGGCCAGGCCAGTGGCCGGCAAACGGCCAGATGATGTCCCGCTCAACCTTTCTCCCAACAAGCGGGTGTGCACCTCCCCATTGGCCCAGGTGGAGGGCCGCCCCACGGGCTCTGATGGCAGCCAGGTAAGTTATAGCAAGGTGGCAGGGAGTGTGTGGCTGGGAGCAAGGATTGGGGCAGCTATAACTCCCTTCTGTCCCCACAGCCTACCCTGCAGCTGGAGCCCCTGTACTTCCTGCAGTGCCACAGCAAGAACAACAGCCCCAAGGACCTGAGCACCCAGCTCTGGGCCTGCGCCTTCGAGCCAGCCTGGGAGGAGGGTACATCCTTGGTGGGCAGGCAGGGCAAGGGCCACAGGGTACAAACAAAACAAGCTTTCTGGGTGGGGGTGTGAGCGTGCCACCTGGAGTGGGGCTGCCTGGGCCATGGGGGAATTAGGAGAGACAGCGCTTAAAAAATGTCAAGGCCAGGAGGAGGGAACTGGGGATAACTTTACAGAAGATGTTTTTACTAGGCTGATCCCTCAAAACAGGGCATACAGGGGCCACATCCCAGTCTGTGGCCACGTGTGGCGGAGAAGCTGTGTGTGTGATAGACTGCCAGACGGGCATCGTTCTACACAAGTACAAGGCACCTGGCGAGGTGAGTGCCAGGGCCCTGCTCCTGCAGGGCAGCGGGCAGAGCCCTGGGAGCAGAAGTGCCACCTATTCATCAGGTGACTTTTTCTTTGATGCTGGGCCTGTTTCCCAGATTTGATCCTGCATGCATGTGCACACATGTAGCTCTGCCCCTTGGTGACTGCTCCACTCCCCCACCCCCAGGAGTTCTTCTCTGTGGCCTGGACAGCGCTGACGGTGGTCACACAGGCGGGCCACAAGAAGCGCTGGAACGTGCTGGCGGCTGCAGGCCTACGGGGCCAGGTCCGGCTGCTGCATGTGCGTGCTGGCTTCTGCTGTGGGGTCATCCGGGCCCATAAGAAGGCCATCGCCACCCTCTGCTTCAGCCCCACCCACGAGACCCACCTCTTCAGTAAGACCTTCTCCCCATACCTCCAGGGCTCCCCCAGCACCCTCCCTGGATTGGTCGGGGACTCCTGTGGCCGGCAGTCTCATTCCAGGCTGCCAGTGTTGGCTCCAATCATGATAGAAGCAATGTGGCTTTGTGGACAACTGACTGGGCTTCAGATCCTGGCTTTCCCCCCAACCTGTTCTGTGGCCTTGAAGCTTTCTGACAACCCGGGCCACTCTGACCTGGGAGATACTCCTGGGTTCAGTTGTGGTGAGCCCAATGAGGGTGATGTGTGAGCAGAGGCCTACAAAAGATAGCCGCCTGGTGTGGCCCACGTTAGGTTAGAGTAAGACAGGGCTTGTAGACCGTGGCCCACCCTCCCTGCTTCAGAGGGGCAGGCCTTGGAACCACACCCTCAGCCTTGGATGCAGCCTGCAGGAGGAAGCTGGGCCTCCTCAGAGCCACCTCTCCCCATCCCCTCCTCAGCGGCCTCCTATGACAAGCGGATCATCCTCTGGGACATTGGGGTTCCCAATGAAGATTACACATTCCAGGCCAGGTGATGATTTGGGCAGAGCTGGTGTGAGGAGGGCTGGCTGCCAGGCTGGTAGACAGTGGCCTCACGCTCTCCCTCTCACCCACCGGCAGCCAGCTGCTCACACTTGATACCACCTCCACCCCCCTGCGCCTCTGCCCCGTTGCCTCCTGCCCAGATGCCTATCTGCTGGCTGGCTGTGAGGGTGGCTGCTGCTGCTGGGACGTGCGACTGGACCAGCCTCAAAAGAGAAGGTGAGCTGGATGGGATGCCTTGAAAGCCAGGCCTCAGAGCTGGGGCAGCTGCCAGTCCAGATGTCTGGCCCCAGGCACACCTGCCAGAGGTGATACCCAAACCATGCATGCTGCCCTGGGCAGCCACAGAGGCTGTCTTCAAAGAGCTGGCCTGTCCCCACCTTCTGCTGGCTTTCCATGAGTAGCTACTTCACTTGAGTAAAGGTCCTTGTGACTCGTTCCTTCCCTGGTGTTGGACAATGGGACTTGGGTTGGGTTAGTTCCCTTTCTGAGCTGGGATCACTTCACCTGCAACCTGAGGCTTCACTACCACCCATGTCCTGCCACTTGCCAGCAATGTGACCTTCCTGCCCTAGCATAATTTGCTCGTCTGTAAAGTTGGGACAGTAACTTGCATCCTAGGGCTAGTGGAGGACAAGGGAGATGGTGTCTGGGCAAGGATGAGGCCCTAGAAGGGCCAGGTTGAGGCTTGTGGCTCACCCGTGCCAACTGGAAGGCCCAAGACAGTGCTCAGCATGGAGTCCCAGCCCTGTTGGGGCCCATAAGCCTAGTAGGAGATGCGTTAAACAAAGGTGGCCAATTAAAATCCCACAAAGTATGATGTCATCTGTGAAGGAAAGAGAATCTGGGGCTTTGAGGGGAATAGGAAGGCCAAGGGGACTCT